ATCATGAACCTGGACACCCCAAGCAGTGGCCAAATCCCCTCAAGATCACAGGATCTCTCTGCTTTAAAGCCACTGTTTATAATCTGACTTATCACTGAGTCACTCAGGGTTGATGCAGAAGATTAGAAACAATCTCAAAGAAATATGAGAGAACAGCTTTTCGTGGCTTTTGTTGCCGGCCTTGACCCCATGTGTCTTCCCAGTCGAGAGAAACTATAAGCTTAGATCAAGGACAACATTAAAGGGAGAGAGAAAGAATAAGAAGTAAATGTATTCATAAAATCAGTAGGCCCCTGGGAATGGGATTTATGTAGAGCGAGCTGTTACCTTTCATATGGGAACCTGTTTAAGTTGTCTAACTGAGAGAAACACTGACTGAATTTTGACAGAATTGTTTTTGTGTTGTTGACGAAAGTAAATCTCAAAGTAACGCATAAAACGGCAAAAGAGACGTTTCTTAAGGAATTCTTTTCTGTCCCATCTGGAGCGACGCTTAATGGATAGCGGATCCCCCCGCATACACCCCCGAACCCCATCTTATTCAAGTGAAGTTGTCCATTAATTAATCTCTGTTTTTCTCTCCAAACACTTCTTCTGTCGCTCCTCTCTCCTTTCATGGTCGTTTTACACACACACTCGTGAGCAGCACTATGGGAAAGAAAGCCCTATAGTCAGCCACAAGTGTCTTAATTAAGGCAGAGAATTGCAAGCAGGCTCAGCTTATTTGAGATTCCTTTCTTGCATGCCGAAAGAAGCCAGGGAGAAGTGTGAAGTTGCACTTTAAGTTCAGCTTGTTTGCCACTGCCAGTATAAGGTCTTAATAGATACAATGACTTGGAGAGGTTTTCAAATTAAAACTGGCAAGACCCCTCCACTGCCCATGCCATTCACTCTCATTATTTCCAATATGAGGAGCTGAAAGGGAGAAGAATACAGCATCTTCAAAGTCCCCCTTCAAATAACCCTTGTTGGTAATTAACAGCGATAGTTTTCGTCTTAGTTTGTCATGGAGAGACGAGGGTGAAGGTTCTGGGTGTCTGAGTCTCTCATTTCAATTGCTGTGAATTAAATACTGTTTCATTTCTCAAGGAAGCTTTCCAGAAATGTGACGATTGTTGTGGAATTAATGAGCAGAACTCAGGGATACTGACAACACTGCCTCTGAATATGCTCAGACGACAATCTTATTGCTCATGAGATCTGAAATCGTCTTTATTTTGGTATATTTTAAATGGTTAGTTCACCTAAAGATTCATTCTGTCATTATTTACTCACCCTCATGTCGTTCCAAACTTGTTAGACTTTAAGACCAAATGAAGATATTTTAATGAAATCTGAGAGCTTTCTGTCTCTCCATTAACAGCAGCGCTTCCACTTTTTACCACAGCACTTGTTTTGCTTGATAAAATTGAGGTGAATAGTTGAGGTGAGTAGTTGTGGATCTCCCAATGGAAGGACAGAAAGCTCTCAGATTTCATAAAAAAAAATCTTCATTTGTGTTCCAAAGATGAACAAAAGCCATATGGGTTTGGAAAAACATGAGAGTGAGAGTGAACACTAACACTTTAAAGATATTCAAGTATATTTGTCTATAGATTAAAACCAGATACAAATGAGACATTTTAGACAATAGAGTTATACAGGTATCGTGAATGTCATGGATTCGATCATTTGGAAATCTTGGAAGAGTTTGACGAGAAATTTTTGAATTCATACAAATTTTTTCGACTAGTTTAAGGTTTGTTATCTTTGTGAATCTGAGCACAGTTTAAGACATTGATAAAATCTGTATTAAGTCACATGTGAGAATGGGGAATTTTTCTCAGGAGAAAATCCTGAGAAACAGGAGACCTCATATAGTTATTTATTTTAATATATTATGTTTATTTTATGTACTCTTAATTTAATCAAATTGTTGTCTTGATATGAATATGCATGTCAAAAGTTTGGAATAATTAAGATTTTTTTTAATGTTTTAGAAAGAAGACTCTTATGTTGCATTTAGTTGATCCAAATACATCAATGTTGTGAAATATCTTTGCAGTTTAAAATAAAAGTTTTCAATTTAAATATGTGATAGCAAAGTTGAATTTCCAGTAGCCATTACTCCAGTTTTCAGTGTTACATGATCCTTCAGAAATCATTCTAATATGCTGTTTTTTTTCTTAAACCATAAAAAAACTTTTGACCAGTATAATTAATTTATATAGTTATTTGTAATATATAATTATTTATTATATGACCTCACTTCTTTCAACCAGAATCTGTTTAATATTGCGTGCTACTTGAAGATTTGGCAGTTTCTCTAAAAGCAGTCCAACAGTCTTGTGGCCAAGTCCTTGGACGTGACTTGGCTCAATGTCTACTAAGAATACTGTTCTCTTTGAGACGACGGCCCTGAATTCATCCTCATTTTCACTCATCTTTTCAACTGCCCCTTTTGTTCAAATCAAGAGATGGGAGAAACCATCAGTATGTAAATTGCATGCTCATATGAGACTTGCTCATGTAGCTCTATCTATTGAGCCACCCTTTCTATTCCCAGATTTATCCCTAAAAAAAGAGAAACAATTATTTGGATGACAAAAGAGTGGGGGGTAACGACTCGTAACGCACGCAAGAGAAATCACATTGGTGGGGGAATTACAGAATAATTACACATATGCCCGGACTGCCAGCATTCATGGGCTCTGACAATATTTTAAGGATTAGAGATGTTAGTGGCGCGGCCCTCTGCTAGAGAAGGAGCTCGAAGATGCATTCAAATGCAAAAGCATACCGTTAGGAGGGGGTAATGCCGTCTGTCTGTACCGCTCGATACACTTTTGTGAAGGGCGTCCCATCCAACAGATTCGGCCACTTGATGCCCAGATCTGCTCTCAGGGAAGAAGTAGTTAACAAAGACGGACAGCCTCTTTAGGATAAAAGTAATTATCTTGAAGCTGATAAAAGTACTGCTTGACTGAAAACTATAACAGATAGCATATTTTTGTCTTGAACGTAATCCGAAAAGTTGAATGCATGACATGGAACAGTTTGATTTGGAGGACGAAAAAAAAAAAAAAAACATTAAAAATATGTTTTTTTGCTGATTTCCTACAATGACCTAGATCAACGGAAAGGCCGAAAAAGTATATTCTTTTAAAATGAATATTCCAGTTTCAACACAAGTTAAGCTTGATTGACCACATTTGTGGCATAATATTAATCACCTCACAAAATAATCTTGATTTGACGCTTATTTTCTTGTAAAAAGGCAATAATGGAAGATACATTGACGCGCTTAAAATAGAAGTGAATGAGGCCAATTTATGGGGGATTTAAAAGCACAAATGTGAAGCCCTACATTATTATTTTCTCTATTGTCTGAGCTGTAGAGTGGTTTAAATAATTTCTAGTCATTTTAAGAGTTTTAGTGTTTATGACATTACGTTATCATGGCAACAAAGTTATAAAATTGGAAATAACTTAACACAGAAAAGTGATTTTATCACACGTACAACATGCTAAATTGCACATAGGTATTGTGGCTATACAATTAGAAAAGGAGTATTTTAACGTGTACGGATTGGCTCCAATCATTTCCATTGTAAGTGCCTCATTGTAACCCAGATTTTTGCGTTTCTTTTCTTTTTTTTTAAGAAAAGGAGCGACAAGCGGCAAATCCACAAATGCCCAACTTGTATTAACACCTGAACATTCCTTTGATGATAATCACTATTTGCATTTACACCCCCACCCCTCAAAAGTTTATTTTTAAATTAGCCTATATGATTTTTCTAACATTTTAAAGCTGCAAGCAGCAGTATCTTGTCTGTACGGTCCATGAAATTCCCTCATTGTTGATGTTTAGACATGGAAATGTAAGGCATTCATGGGAACTAAAGCCATGAAAAATGGATGAAATTACAGTCTGTTCGGGTGAAAGGGCCAGAGCAGGCGAAGCACAAAGGCAGATATTGTGGTGTTAAAAGTCTGGTGGCTCTCTAACAGGTGAAGGCCTCCAGTGTGTGGCGACGACACGTGAATGTGACCGGACAACAGGCGTCCTGCTGGGAAACCACAAAGAGGGAGCAAACACCATAACCACCAAGACACTGAGCGCATCAAGTGCCTGCTTTCACTCTCGCCTAACCTTTGGACTTCTTCAAGTGTTACAGATATGGCACATTTTGGCAAACCAGTGGCAGCCAATGGAAGATGAATGACCAGTGAACGCTTTCATTTGCAGAGACCTCTTTTCAACAGGGGCTAATATGCGGAGAGCAGGCGTAGCTTGGGAATAGCCGCAAGTTCCTCTTTGCTTTTTATCTCTCTGTGTGTGCATGTGTGTGTGACGGCAACCCTTGAGAAATCTGATTTGGGGCCCTGACTGAAAGGAAGGCAGGTTGAGCGTGTGTTATAATCTTAGAGAAGGTATGGTGAACATGACACGGCTCTCAAACTGAGAGCAAAATATGCAAGTGATTGTTTTCTGAAGAGCAACGCATTCGTTTTTTGTCTTATTTGTTGTCTGTACTTTCGTCTCAGATCTACAATTATAAATATATACTGATTATATATAATTGAATTATATAATCTAAGAGTTCTTAGAGATTTAATCTATGTATTCATGTTTTCATTAAAAAAACATTTCTATAACATTTAATTTCATGACTTATGTAAAAATCTATCATGTAAAAGAAAATATTTTTTATGTCTGTCACAACAACGAAACGGCTACTGTGTGTGTTGGTTGGACCAACCTGACTTTGATTTGGCAGACAAAATTTGTCTTTACATTTCAAATTAATTTATTTCACATACTGCAACTGTAATAGTAATTATAGCCTGATCTAACTAATTTTTAAATTAGACTTTAATTAATTAGACTTTTTTTCTTTTACAGTCTCAAGACTCATTATTCATTCAAGCCGTATGTAAAATATTTAAATACATTTTAATTCAGAAATTGAAAACTTGTTCATTTCAAGACATGTAAAAAACTGATGATACTGGGAAGGACGATATGTCAGTATATCGATAATGCTTTTTTAAAAATATAACTTGACTGACAATGATTTTGCAAATAACATGCTCTTCTATCTTCAAACAGAGTGTGTCTCTAACATAGACATGTTTCTAATGACGGCCTGAGCTCGACATCACAGACAGCAGCACAAAAAGTCTCTCCATACCAACTCAAAACATCAGTGGGGAGGGGAAGAGACTTTCTGGCCTCTTGAAGTCGGGTCCGACAGTCAACTTGGGGTGTTGATTAGTAACCCCCTGCCAGAAAACGAGCTCGCGTGCCTGCACCATTCGCCACCTCCGGTCGAGGTCTCCAGCATGCCACTCTTTTGAGATCGAGTCAAACTGCAGCCTGAAATGCTGCGGAGAATAAAAGTCCCCTGCGCCGAGGTAGACGTCCAGCAGACTCCCATTCAAGCCCTCGACCTCCATGAAAACGGCAAAATCAGAAACGAAACTTTCGATCTCTGCATCCCGTTCGACTGCGGGAGAATGGTGGGCTTTCATTTTCACGACTCCCCCCACGATCCTTTTGTTCTCACTGGTCCTAATAGTCTTTAGATTTCTCTTTGACCCAGCGAGGGTTATAGACTGCTGAAAGAGTCGCTTTTGTCCCTTGTTTTGAGAATGATAAGAAAAAAAGGGGAAAATAGTCAATAAAATTCAAAAATAAAATTTAAAAAAGAACAAAATGACAAATCCTTTAATATGAAGGCACAAAAAAGGGCCTTTATGATTATTACCATCATTGAGTTTGCTAATGAACACGCATTTCCTAAATTACAAGTTATCGGCCTAATGGCTGTCCTCAGCATATAAAAATATACAGGAGGATCTATGTTTTATTCAAAATCAGATTTATTATCTGGATAAGAATGGGTCCCATAAAAATGTTAGGACGGCCATTGAGAGTCCCCTGGCCCTTTGTGAGTGAGACCCCTCCTCATCTGAAGAAGGAAAGATTTCATGACTGACTGAGAATGAAGAACAGCCTCAGTTCTCAAGTGACTATTTTCCTGACTCTCTCTCTCACTCTCTCTCTAAGCAGTAACACCTACATTGTATGCAGAGAGACAGAAAGCATTGAATAGCCTCAAAAAGAAACCCCATTCACTTCAAGGCAGCTGGGCAGGCCAAGTGTTCAGCCGGCCTTTTTACTCATGGATGAGTTTTTGTGCAAAGCTTGAGGAGAGGCCTCCAGCGCTCCTTCTTTAAGGGAAAGAAAGACAATAAATTTGTCTTGTGCGCATTACTACTGCTCAGTTATTCCACATAGCATTGCACTGTAGCCAATATACAGTTTTGTACTTCTCCTGAACAGTTTTGTGGCCTTTTTGGTCGATTTGATCTGCATTTTCAGCAATTCACTGCCAGGGGCTTGAATAACTGCCAGTCTTAAAAGAGGGTCTTTAGAATGTAAAGGGGGTCAAAGGTCTTGCAAGAATGTATAGATCCTTACAGCCATCAGTCTTGACCATCAGTGGACAGCAGAAAATAACACTGAGTCTAGAGTGGCTGTTCACTTTATGAAGTCCCCTCAGAAAAGAAGAATTGAGGTCCCTCTATGGCCTTTTTCCCAGTTCTTTTCTTTCTCTACCTCTACTTTTAAAGCATTGTGCTTCTCTTGGCTTCTGTCTTCTTTCACCTATGGAATCGTGTTTCCGCCTCAATTACAAAAGGTAATTGTGAGATAAAATCTAAAATAAGAACTAAAGTCACACAGTGAGTTTTTTTGCAATTGCTTTTGGGAGTTAAATTGCGAAATGTAACGGCACATTATGAGACATAAAGTTATTGGGAAATATTTAGTGAAAGTTGGAAGCTACAAAGTCACAATTACAAAAAATAAAAATTGCTATTGCTAGATATAATGTCATTTTTATGATTTGAAGTTTCAAAAATCACAATTGCAAGATAAAAATGTACACATTTAAAATTGAAAGTCGCCCAATTGGAAGTAAAGTAGCAATGGATACACTCTAAACAATGCTGGGTTGTTTTAACCCAATTTTGGGTCAAATATGGACAAACCCAGCCATTGGGTTACATTTTTAAATGACATTTTTAACCCAATGTTTGAGTTTGTCCATATTTGACCCAAAATTGGGTTAAAACAACCCAGCATTGTGTAGAGTGTAGATAAAAAGTCAAATTTTGATGTCACAATTGCAATTACGAGGATAAAAAGCTGTAATTGTGAGATATAAAGTCACAATTATCCCAAACAAAGTTGCAATTGAGAGTTACAAAATCACAACTGGAAGTCAAAAAGTCAAAAATGTGCATTACAAAGTAACAAATGGAAGACAAAAAGTTGCAATTGTGAGATATAAAGTCACAAGTCGCAACTTGCAAGTACCCTTTTTTCCTTTAAGGCGGAAATAGGCTTGATATTTGATTTACTGCATTTGGAGGGAGAGATTATGGAGAATTTGAAATCAGGGAAGAATGTCTCATTAAAGACTGAAAGTAAATGATCAACTCAAATTAAGTGTCATCATATAGTGATTTTTGATTCAAAAAACCAGTTCTGTAACATAATTTCCTCTTGTACACTTAAGATCCAGCGACTGGAGTGATTTGAGTCAAGTATGCACCTGTTGCTGCCATATTCTCTCTCCATAAGGAATTATTACTTGTGGAGATTACCATTCATCTGTCCTGCACACATCTCCACACTTTCTGAAGAAGTGGCTTTAACTTTGATGTGTGCCAGACACACAGCTTTTGGGGTACAGAAACCGTTTGTTAGCCTGAGCTTTCTTTGGCCCCGAGAGGTGGGAGGCCAATATCACGCACCTCTTCAGGAAGTGTGCACTGAAAGCACAGAGCAGTGGGGATTCCAGCGGGATTCCATGGGACCAGCAGGCTCCTCCGCTGGTATTATCTTCTCTGGGCAGGAGATCCCAGGCCAGAGCACCCCCACTGGTACTTCCCCATGCCTTTCAACCCCACGGCCTGCAGCACACAGAGAGGAGATTAGGATTAATCTCAGGTCCGACATGCTGATATTAACACCACCTCTCCCACCCTTCACTCTCCGTCAGAAGAAGGAATGGTGTTGCATCTGTTTTTGGAAGTTTAGGTTGGTGAACACATGAAAGTCTAGGACATGGATTATGGCATGTACTAGAAAATAGAGAGATGATCAAAGGTATGGCTTTTTCCAGGAATTAGGATGGGGAATCACTCTCACACCAGCCAAGGTGGTGTCTCGTTCATGGTGAATATTTAAACTTGGGGTTGTTTTTAAAGCACTATGATCCAGTAACTTGCATGTTACCCCATCTTTTAACTTAAGTTTTCTTACTCTCAAAGACGACATGTCTTTTGACTGAAATTATTTTACTTGCCACATTATTGAGGATTAAAAATATTGGTGTCTTCTACATCATCCAGAATTTATAAGATGTTTTGATACCTGCGGACTACACAAAATAAAGGTTATTCTGCGGTTCTTTGAAGCAAAGAGCCGTTTTTGTTATAGTTCTTAAATTTGGCTGTATTCTTTGTAGATTATAATTGTTACGTTATCCTACAACATTAAAATATTATAATGTAACATTATTATACTTTCTTAAGATAGATTTCATATGCATGTTGTTTTTTGTGGAACAAAAAATGGTTCCTCTTTGGCAATTTGGCAAAGTTGTAAAGTCCAGGTTCGGAAAGCAAAAGTCCTCCTCGGGATTTTGTTCCAATCACCTGGATTTGCTAATTAGCACTGTTTTTCAGCCAGGAGATAATTAGTGAAATCAGCTGCTGAGTTCATGGGTGGAATAAAGCAGGACTTTTAGGCCACGTTTACATGAGAACGCTCGCGGGTGAAAATGTAAAAATATTTTTACCGGATGTTCCTTTCGTTTACACGGCGATGCTGTTTTTGTGGCTTAAAAACGCAAAAAAGTGAAACCACCATCCAGAGAGGAAATCTTAAAAACGCTCCACCGTCGCGTTCCCGTGTAAACGGTAAAAACGCTAAAGTCTGCTTGACAGTGAAGGTTGTACGCAGGTGCACGGACTTGGTGTTGTTGTGTGGTAGTGCTTCACGTTGCTGCCTGGAGAGCTCACTACATCCCAATTCACACACTTTTGCGTCATCTTATGCACGCGGATTTCCCACCCAAAACGCTCGTCTAAACGCAGAATAAAAAGTGATAACGCAACGCCACTTTTGCGTTTTCTTTTCAGAATCGTTTCCGTGTAAACATAGCTTAACTTTCTGACCCCTGGACTTTACACCTCAGTCAATAGACTCTTTTTTTTTTGGTTCTATTTTTAAGTCTTGTTGTTCATAAAAAAGAGGGGTTATTTAAAATGATTATTACAATTTCATGTTTTAGAAAAATAAATTCAAATATAATCCAAAGAATACATAATTACAGTTAAAATGAGGGCTCAACAAAAGAGAGATTTTGAAAAAAAGTAAGTCTACAACGAAATTCCATTCAAAATCACCACAGTGAGGAGTGCACGTCATTTAAGGTGAATTACACCACTGTAGCACATTTGCTTTGTTGTCCGGCTCGACATATTGCTCCAGCAGTGGGAAAAAAGCTAAATGTCATAGTCTAACTTTTTCTCACCCATACCCCTGTTTGCTTATCCCTGTGAGAAAACCCACTCCTTCACAATGTACACGTTTATTTCGCACATTTGCGTACATTTCCCCCCTTTTAAGGCCTGGCCAAGGAGAAGCGCAGGAAAAGGACCCACACACAAACCCGCACAGGCATTGAAAAGGCAAAAGTTCTTTGCTGTTATGCAAATATAGCAATCTGTAAATGGTTGAGTGAGAGTTATATTTGAATTAAATGAGGCTTTGCCTTTTCATAACACTGAATTGCAAGCCAAAGTCTCAATACAGAATCCCCACGCCAAGGCCATGCATATTATGCATTTGACGAAATGTGAACTGACACAAATACCATGGCTCACTTTCAATCCGATTACTCGGCTAAACCACATCAATACGAGCCAGCCAACGGGCGCTGGCGTCCCCCATTCAAGTGGCCAGCGAACAACCCCGGCTCCTCCTCAGTACACAAGCGCCTCGGCTACGTCTGCTTTGCCCCATGTTCAACTTATCAGGCGTGCTCAATAGGGCCCTTTCGACAAGGTTCTCTCCCCTGCTCTCTCAGTTCAGGTCTAAAACAAAGCTAAAGATTGTGCTGATGGGCTCAAACTCTCAACACCACCCATACAAGCGTTTAGCGTTAAATAGGGAGTCCTCCCTCCAAGCACTGAATTTTTTTGTCCCATTTTAAGCTTATTTAGTGGCTTTTACCATTATGAGCATGCTTCAGCAAGATAAATGGCACAGGTTAGCATGACCAAGGGTCATTTTAATTGCAGCATTGATTGCTTGTTAGCAACAAGCCTTTAATTTAAAGTGGTCTTGACAACCACGAGGATTGTTCCTTTTTGCAGGCTGCATAGCAACGCTTGGGCTTCACTAGAAACACAATTTAACTAGGGCCATTTACAAGCTTTATTTCAAAACAACCTGCCAGGTGCTGAGGACTCTAAAGATATTTGCCGTAACTGTGAAACTTCATGAGATTAAAATGAGAAAGAAAATACATTTGCTACATTGATGTAGCCTGAGCTCCCATGACCAATTTAAATCTAATGAACAGATTCTGTGAGATTTTCTATTCATCTCAAAAGCTTCTTGTTTTCCTTTTAAATGCATGGTCAATTATATTGATAGTATTGTATTGTAATGTATTTAAATAAAATCGTATATTTAAGAGAACAAAGGATGATGATAAATATATTATTCATGGGAAATTGATCATAATTATCTAAGCTAACCAACCATCACAAAAAACCTGAAATATACACAAACCCACCGATTATTTTAAACATTTGTTCCGGTCAAAGCATTTAACGTGTTCTGATATTAAAATACTGTGTAAAAGGTTTGAATTAATTTGAGATCACTTTTATATATATATAAATATATTAGTTTGAATTGGGTGCAGCATTGCTATCAAAGAAATTTAATTTATAAAACCTCAGGTATTTGAGATGGTAATATCTTTAATAGCCTTTGGATGAAGGTTTTTCTTCTTAAAGTTTACTTAGTGCTCACATTCAAATTGCCTTATCCTCCTGCATATAGAAAGCCAAACTTTTGTTTATGTCATATAAGCCTTTTATTTATATGCTAGGTAACTAAAAACTATTTACATTATGTAAACAACATTATGATTTAGTTTTTTGTACTTAATGATATTTCTAAACAACCATAAGTGCATAAAAAAAACATTCAGGGAGTCAAACTGAGGTTTATCAACTTCAATTAATCAGTTCTGTGTAATGTTAAGTTTAAGGTGAGTAATGATGACGAGGAAGCAGTTTAACAGAGATATTGCAATCGTCAACATCCCTCATGCATCAGCACTAGCTATACAGGAAGGGTGCGAATTAGGCTGTTTTTAGGAACACTGAAGCATTCATTTAATTTAATACCAAAATATGGATTTAACTAAAGATGATTCACAAAGAAAGCGCTAATGGGAGCCTACAGTTACATTAATGAACACAACTTTCACGCACATCTGATTGATATAAACCGCACCAGAGCCGATCCTGACCTCCCTGGGGCCCTAAGCAAAATTCTGTTAGGGGCCCTCCTACCTGGCCCATGTAAACCATTTGCAATTGCCACAGTCACACCTGACAGCCCAGTGCTCACTACAATCCTCCCTCCTTTAACTATACTAATTAAAATGTAATTCATAATATCAGAAATATACACTGTTACTAGAAAAGGTAAATACTTAATATCAATAATTCACATTTTAAATAGTACAAATTTAATTACTGATATCAAAAATGAATGTGAATGAATAATAGCTAAAATGGCTTGCCATATTGTCAACACCTTGCTTTCCATCTTATTTTTATTGTATTATCTATAGTTGTAAGTAAACTGATAATCATTCTCTTGTTTTAAAAGTAGCTTACTATAATGAGGAGTGCCAACTCGCTCACTGGTGTTTTGCTGGAAAGTGCGCGTTTCATCATTTCGTGCACGCGCATATGAACGATGACCTTATCTTTTCGGAGCTGCAGTTTGTAAACAAACGCCGTTGCCCTTTGTCGTATTATCAAACATAATAAATAGTTGTATTTTACTCACTTTTTTGTCAGGCACAAAGTCACAGAACACAGCTCTGGAAGTGGCCGGGCATTAGCAAACAAGACACAGAAAGACCAAACGCCAGCTAGAGAGAGATGCACATCAACTTTAGGCTAGGCCACTGTTCAATGCTGGCATCAAACTTGGAGAGGAGAGAACACAAGTCTACCTGATTGTTGTTCCCGAAATTCACTCACATGGCGTTTTTTGCCTCTCTTTTCGCGACCAAAAGGATAGTTCCACTTAATTTTCTCATCGTTGCTGTAAACTTTGATTGACGCGCTTTGACACGAGGGGGAGGCGGGGCCTTGAGTAATTTGCGGGGCCCTGCGTAACTTGCGTAGTGTGCGTATGTGGGCTGATCGGCTCTGATCCGCACGCTCTTATTTCGAGTTGTTTTTAATGTTGTGGATATTTATACAGTTTGCTTCGTATGTTCAGTTCAACAACATTAAGCTGAAGTTAAAAACTTCCCATTCAACTGAACGCGCAGGTAAACACTCAGCATAGCCTAGGCCTACATGTTCTTATCCGTCCAATAGACGCGTCCTTGAAAGAGCGCAGTTAAGACTACTTTAACAATGTTATGCCAATTTTATGACCAATTTCATATGCGGCCAACATTACAAGCACACGCAGTATTTTAATTGTTTAATCAAAATTATTGCGAAGGACAATTCAGGCCTATCACTAAATATAAAATGAATCATTATTTAACCCATAACGCAAACCCCAATTTTCCCTATAAATCCTAACAACGTCCTTCAAGTGAATAGACAAAGGTTTCTCATGTTTGCTGATTTGTGAGGGTGCAGAGATGTTGCGCGCTCTAACCGACAGAACAGGTGCATGTCTGTCGCAAATCAAAACGCTTTGTGCTGAGACTTGAGTTTGCTCCGGCGTTATGTTTAAAGCAGAGTTAATATCAATTTAATGCTTGTCAATGCTTTTCTGTATTTTGGCTCTTAGTTAATCTCCTGTGTTCTGCCGTGCTTGGATCTACAGAAACAGATGCTGGGCAGTCTTAAAAGGGTTTGCACGAAGCGAAGGGGCGGATTAAGGTGTTAAAATCAGACGCAAATGTAGTGTTAATCATCTAGGCTACGTAAAAATTATGAATTTAATAAAAAAAAAAAAAGTAATCATAATTTGGACTAGGTTATTATTACTCTGGAAAAAATACATTTACTACAAAAAGCCAAATGAAATTGGTATGGGGTTTGAAATGTAGAAATACAATGTAAAACAATGGCAATGTTAGGCAAAACTGGATGAAATTTTTGTGACTTAGCCTATAGCATGGATCAGTTAACTGTCCTGTCATTTAATTATATATTATTAATATACCAAACTACTTAAGCTATAATATTTTCGTTTATTTCCACCAACAAAAATAATTTCAACAATATTTACTGCGAAAGTCATGGCTATTAGCACAAGTTTTATGTTAAAATTACTAACAGTTTTTTTAAGTTTTGTAATCATTGCATTGTCATTTCACTAAGTTGCTAAGAGTCCAATAATAAAGAACTGATAATAAAATGAAACCAAATCATTTTCGATTCATATTTAGCTCACCATAAGGAGAATATATAATCTCGGCAGTCGGCACAATCTATTATGCAAAAGCGCGCGCGTTGGTGTGTGTCAGGAGGAGGGAAGGCACATTTATGTGGATATAATATCTTAGAAATGTGTCTTTAATGGGTTTAATTCAGCGCCCGACCAGCTGCACTCCCTCTATTTGGTAAAGAGAAAACAATCGTGCCATGGCTTGGAAAGCAAGCAGAAATTAGTTTCGGTCACCGAGGCTAAGCTATATTTCCTGCAAACCATCTGCTTGATAGGTACAATAGAGGGATTTTCAAGTGCAAGAAAAAGAATAAAGTGCTTTGAACGTGCAGAAGTCCTCTTGGGTTTTCTGAAGGTGATGAGGTGTCTTAATACGACTGCCCCGGGCGGTGCTAAAAACAACTGATGCAAATCTAACGGTCGTAGGCTATTGATTTGATATAAATAGGAATAATGACATTTTAATCACTTACGTTGTTACTTGCGTGTTGATAGATTTTAATAGGCTACTTGTTTAAGGAGCGGAAAAGGCTGGCATTTAATAAAATAGGCCATCACTAATGTGAATAGTGATTGAAAATTATAATTAATATAGGCCTAATAAAGCTACAAATAAGTACCGGCTTTATGTTGGCCAGGCTAAAAAGAAAAAACAATAGAAAACTTGCAAAGGGGCGTAATGGGGTTCGTATCTATGGCACGAATGTCATTTCTCGTGGCATTTATACGCCAAAAGCAGTTTTTGCGTGTATTTGGCACGCGATTTTCGCGTACATATTATACGCACTTTTTTGCGTATAATACACACGAACTCCCCACCCCCCTCCCCCCTAAACCTAACCCAGGGTTTTTTAGTGCGTACCATATACACGAAAAAAACACTTTTGGCGTATAAATGCCACGAGAAATGACACTCGTGGTATAGATACGCATCTTCATGAGACTGTGTTGAAAATTACTTGCGCTATATGCCACTCTACACATCACAGCGAAGCTCCCCCACAAAGACATCTCTTGTTTTACTAAGATTGCTAAGACTTCTTAAGGTGGACTAAGAAGGCTGTCGAGCGGATCTCGTTTGAAAAAGTTTTAAAATATTGTCTAAACTCTAAAGACCCAGTATTACAATCCATTTGTGCGAAAGAGCAACGCCTGGCGCATAATTTCATGGAGATTTACTCGCCGTGTCATCTCTCAGGGCTCACGCGGACTAGGCTATATCTTCCCCTCGTCTTTTTTTCCTGTCCAAATCAAAGCGCACGAGTTGACTCCGCGGAGATAAATGTGAAGGTAGATGCGAGAAAATGAATGGTTAGTGGGACAAATCCTGACAGAGAAGCGGTCAAACGCCATTAGTCACAGGTCTTAGCCCACAGGCCTCGGGATTCACCTCTTTTGGTGCATCTGACAGAAGAGAGCGTCTGTCCCAATAAAAGCCTCCTAGGATCAATCCTTTTGTTCGCACTTTTTCTCGGTTTATTATATATTTTAAAGGTAGGCGTTGGCCATTTCCCCCGTGGTTCAGCAGCAAAACTTGAAAGGTTGTGCTTTGCCATATCACATTAAACCTTATCCACGTGTGGCACAGCATGTTCTCTGACCCAGCTCCTCATACAATTAAATTTCTCTTTTACTCTCGGTATCTCAATGGAAGAAAATGTTAGAGTGACCTACCTTCAACTAGGGTGAAAGTAATGTTGTCTAGTTATTCAGGATCTATAGCAGAAAACAGGGATAACTAGGTTACAAACAATACACAGTATAAATTAGGTCGAAACAAAATGTTAAAGTGTTTTTATCATTCCTATTTAAATTACAATAAATTAAAGTAGTTAAAAGTAATATATTTACCAGGTTGTTGGTAAAGTTTTAAGTTAAACTGATTCAAATCAATTTTTAATTGTACTGTTTTCAGAGCTTGGTTTTCCCTTTTTATCAAGCCTGGTTTATTATTTGTCTCAAGATGTAGATTGCCTAAAATAATTTCACCGCGTTTGTAGGCAAAGCAGACATTTTGTATTTGTATTTTATTGCAATCTTCGTAACGGCATGAGTCATGGCTATGACTAACTAGTCCCTTTTTATGCGTAAAAGGCCGTTGTCCGCGGATTGCTCGGTGTTGTCTAATCCAATCCGAATTTATTCTGTCCAATCAGGGCGCGTCGCCTCTGGAGTAAACGGAACTCACGTGGAGAATTTGGCTGAACTTCATTGTTAGAGCTGTCACCCATGAAAAGGCTTCTCCAGCGGTCCACTATAAAACCCCTGGAAGAGAGAGAGACAAGCAAGAGCTCCTTCATTCTGCCCTTTTGGACTCTAATCTACGCAAGCCATTGCAGTGAGAGAAGTAGCAGGTGAATTCATCGCTGTCATTTTCTTTAAAAACGGTGCAATGATGTTGCCAAGTGTTATTGCGCCACCTGCTATGTATCCGAACTTTTTAAGGCCCTCGGCGGCTCTTTCCTTGCCTCCCACTTTCCACTCGGCGTTCACCGCGCACTCGAGCTTCCTCGTAGAAGACCTTTTGCGGATCAGCAGACCTGCCACCTTCATGCACAGGAGCATCCCGTCCCCAAGTGCATCTCCTCCGGCTACAGGAGCCACAACTCTGAACAACTCCTCCGCTGCCCACGTCGCCATGTCTACGTCTTTGCCAAAAAGATCAAGCTCTCCACAAACTTCAATTTCCAACGATCCAAATTACTTGAAGTTTGGAGTGAATGCGATTCTCGCGTCAACAACACGGAACGGTAGGTTTCTCATTTGTTTATAAACTAGCAACTTAATGTAGGCTAATTGATAAAACGTCACATCTCCTAATTTTTGTTTGTTTAAAGTACGCTAATGAATAAAATAGCGATGACACTCATGTTACGCATTTGCCTGCTTTTTTATCACCTTGTACAAGTTGACTTCATTTAATTGATGTCCACTTTATTTTGTGTCATAGTTTCACCACCACCTTCAGTGCACGGGATGAATGCGAAAACATTCCCGTTCCCATGTTTTGACGGCTCATTCCACCCATTCATCAGAGCATCATATTTCCCAGGTGGGTCAACTACACTATTAATGCAAAAATCGCTGTGTCACTTCTTAATTCGGTCAAACTGATGGGCTTTCAGAATGTGCTTCCAATGCTGGAATTTGTAGGACATTGTGGAATCAGTCTCGCTAATTTGATGCCCTATTTAGCAAACGCAGTGACTGCTGACATTTTGCACCGCTTCCCCTAATCCACAAATTAGCCGGAATTGTCATGGTCCCAATTTAAGGCGGGTCCACTCTCACAAGCAAACTGTTGGCTTCTCTTCATCGTTGCCTTTTCCCACCGAGCCAGTGTACTTAGTTACTGATTGGCAACAATGCTTTCAGCACCATGACCAATTGGTCAGCTCCCTCTGGGCAGCCACACACAGACCCGTCGTTGACTTGAGCATGCTGCTGATAGGCATTTACCAGTCATGGACTAATTCCCCTATTAGCTTCTATTCAGTGTTTCAATATTCTCACAAGACCACATAGCGTGTGGGGAGTCTTCACAGGACGTCCAAGCTAAAGTTTTGGTCTCATGTAGCAGCATGAAAATTGCCTAACAAGGTGTAGTAGTCTTAATTAGGTTAGAGCGTCTCAAGTAGCAAATACATGGATTGTAAATATCCTCTACACAATTTAATGTTTACAACAACCTCATTTGTACGTGGGTTAACGCTAAATCTATTACGTATACCTCAGAGAAAACCAATAAAAGTGGGTCTACTTTGCGTTAAGCTTCATGTCCATCACTCCAGTGAATGCGGGCTACAAATAGCCTTGTGGATCGTGCACTCATTCAGACCAACGATAATAGACTGATTCTTTTCACCGCGGTGTGAATACGTCAACAAAACAACTTGAGCAGTATGAATGGCTTTTCGTGTCCATTTAATGAAAATATTTGGGGGCAAACATAGTCCCCCGCCATCAGTATTCTCAAAATGTCCCTGGCATGCCGTTGTGTTTAGTTTTTAAGTGTAAATCTCTTTTGTGGCCGTAATATATGGCTTTAGTGGCCTGTCCTAAGCCTTTTTCAGTCAGTTCATTACTACACAATTACCGTCCACGCTTCATTAGCACCTCTATCTTTCACTGGAGCGCTCTGAATGACTGCTCGCCCTTGTTACCATACCAATGCTTTTGGAAACCAAGCAATGTGCTAATTAGCTTCCTCGTTCCGTATCACTCAAATGGACTGGTTTATAAAAACATTAAAGCCCAACTTTCATTCCAAGCCCAATGAGGGCTTCCTGTTCTTAGAAAACACCAATATTAGCTTTTTTTGAGGGAAACATTAATAATATCGACTTTTAAAATAATTTGTTTCTTTCTCTCTTATAGCATCTTCAGCAGTGCCCATTCCCGGAACTTTCGCATGGCCGCTCACGGCTCGAGGGAAGCCGAGGAGAGGAATGCTTCGACGGGCAGTCTTCTCTGACGTGCAGCGCAAAGCATTGGAAAAGATGTTTCAGAAACAGAAGTACATCAGCAAACCAGACAGAAAGAAATTGGCGGCGAAACTTAGCCTCAAAGACTCTCAGGTAAGCTGAAGTTGTCCACAAACATTTTTTTTGTATCGTACCTTTGTGTGTGGATGTCTGAGGTAAATTGGTCGCGCTCATGTTTTGCTTACTCTTTGTTGTCAGGTAAAAATTTGGTTCCAAAACCGAAGAATGAAATGGCGCAATTCCAAAGAAAGAGAGCTTCTATCGTCAGGAGGTTGCAGGGAACAAACTTTGCCTACGAAAATGAACCCCAATCCTGACCTGAGCGACGTTGGAAAAAAGTTCGAAAATGACGCGGCTTTGAGAGAAAGCCCGCGCGCGCCAATCAGAGATCACGAGCTCAACGCAGATTTACTTTTCAAGTCGCCTTCGATTTCCAGCAAGCACTCAGACTTCTCAGAATCAGAGGACGAGGAAATAACCGTGTCATAATCATTAAACAGACTATGTAATTTCCAGTGAGTTATGTTTATGCACAAAAACTTTGTGAAACGTTTTCAGAAACGTTGTACACGATAGCTGGGTGAACTTTACTGATAGGAAAGCTCTCAGTTGAAGGGACAATGATGTAACCGCTGCGTTTTTGGCAGCTTGTATAGTGTTTTGTATGAATATTTTGTATGGAATTTTATACTAAGATTATTATAATCTTTCTTAATGATTTGGGATACTTGTCTATATTCTTAAATACGTAGATGGCACATTTCTAACTTAAAAAAAATCTTATATTATTTTGTATACTGATATTTTTTTTGTAAAAAATGTATATACATGTGAACAAAAATATTTTTACAAATTAAAAAATCCAAAGCAAATTACCAACATTTCATTTTTGTGTTTATCTGGCTTGAAAAAATAATTTCATGTTATTTATATGGCCATAGATATTTTATTGAATAGACTTTTCTTAATTTACAAGCAATATTTGTAACTGTGTGTCTGGAGACAGTTTCAACAAATAAATTTAAGTTAAAAAAGTGATAAGATACATTATAAGTCCTGCCAAAGACAAATGAGACTTGTTTACTCCTTCCTCAACTTCTGAAAAAAACATAACTGTTGACAACTTGCCACTGAATAACTGACAGAAACTGATATTTGAACAGGAAAATGATCACATTTATTGCAAAAAAGGTCACATGCAATCACTAGGCTAAAAAAGATAATTAAACATGAACAACTTTAAAACCATTTCTCTTAAAGACTACACCAACAACAAAATAGGAGGCAAATATTTACAAAAAATATAGTACAACTGAAAATATACACAAGTAAAATCAAAACTTGTTACCTGCAATTTATGGAAAATTAGACAATCTGCCTCTTTTATTATTATTATTATTTAAACTCATTTCAATAGGCTATATTCACACAATTGTTTTCACATGTAGATGTGTTTAAAGAAAAAAAAGTGTTGTCTTGGCAGTACTTGAAGCACAACAAGAGTATTTGGCGGGATATAACACAGAAAAACACAAACAAGAACAGAAATACTCCATTAAAACATGTTCCAGGAAATTATTTTAAACATTTTGGAAACAAAATGCAATCTTTTAAATAAAGCAACTCGCAGTAATCCATTTGGATCTCACACTAATGTTTGCCACATTAATACTGCTGAGGGGGCCACTAGACACGCAAACCCTCAATTCAGACTAAAGCACATCACATGCATCCATGTGCCAGACCCTTTCAAATGTATGTCTAACTACCCCCCCCCCCTTTCTTTCTCCCTTCAACAAGTATTTTAGAAAAACATACTGAACACAGAGGACATTTGCTTCTCCAAATTATTTGGGAATGAGAATTATAAAAGAGGTCCGTTTTGGCTTCCTAATATCAACAGGTTGCATTGTATAATGCCACTGTCTCTTGATGGATGTCTGGTTTTTGAGTATTCAGATTGTTGAATGAACCACATTCATTTGACTAAAGTTTTACCAGAAATTCGGTCATGATGAGGTTAAATATTCTTTGAATGTAACAATATTGCATAGAGATTATTGCACTACATTAAGAGGCAAAAAATATTCTCCTGGCACAAAATGATAGAACAAACAATTTCGCTTTGATATTGTATCATCACTTTTACAAACACCTCTTAATGATAAGAACAAGTTACCAAAACACTTTCTTTCTTCTTTTTTTTTGCCAAAAAGCGACCACAATATAGCTCACGTTACAATATATATCTCTGTAGGTCCCACAGATAGTGCATCATTTGAAGGCTATAATGTCCTTGCATTATTTGTATTTATAGAAAGGTAGAAATCTAAGACATAAGCAAGCCCATCTCAACCTATTACACAAACATTGTAAGGCATTGTTCTCAAGTTCAGCACCAAAGTTCACTAGTGCATTAAAGTCAGGCAACATGATATCCTTTTAGAAAGTATAATATGAAAGAAAATAAACGTGACTTGGTACCAGTGTTCAATTTGAACCTCCTTATTGAACAGACTTATACCGCCATCTACAGTCCATTTGAGGAAATAACGCTCTCTGAAGCTCTTGAGCATGTTTTCCCTCGATTAGTGTCTTACTGAGCAATGATGATTTTTTCCGGGTTTCCAGCACCCTATCCTGTAGGTTTCCAGCACCCTGTAGATTCCCAAAAAAAGCCGGATCTGATATTAAAAAGTCTCCATTTCGTAATTTAACATTTGAAAGTGTTTTCACAGTGTAGATTCTAGTGAAGAGTCACCAAGGCTGTTGCTGGTGGAATCACTATCATAGCTCTCCGTTCCAGTGCAGTGGGCCGTCTCCTTCAGCCTCATTAGCATATTCATCTGTGGTGATAGGAACAGCTTTTATTACATAGTAAAATCTATCTATCTATCTATCTATCTATCTATCTATCTATCTATCTATCTATCTATCTATCTATCTATCTATCTATCTATCTATCTATCTATCTATCTATCTATCTATCTATCTATCTATCTATCTATCTATCTATCTATCTATCTATCTATCTATCTATCTATCTATCTATCTATCTATCTATCTATCTATCTATCTATCTATCTATCTATCTATCTGGGCTCGACATTAAGCCTTGTCATGTGGCAAGTATATCGGTCATTCAGTTGTCCGAGTAAAAAAAAGCTGGTGCGGGAAAAAATAGGATTTTGGTGTTAATATTAATAAATATAAATTATTCTGAAGGAATACTCCCAATAAGTGTTCTATCAGCTTTGACATGTTTAAATCTGCATATTTGTGATATTTACCCCTTTTTTTACCTTTATAAAAAGGCATTTTTTCCTTAATCTTATTAAATGTATGATTCATCTTTTATTTCAAATTTTTAAATTTGAATAATAAATTCAATTAGAATAAGAGACTGATTGGCTGTTACCAATCAAATTAAATCATTTACACTGACAAATTACAACTTTAATTAAATAATGTTATGAGATCGTTTTAAATATTTTAAGAACGATTCTTTTAAACATGAAACTAAAGCGCCAGTAGGTGGCAGGGCGTCATGGAGTCATTCATTCAAACGATTGGTTCAAACGGCTGATTCATTCAAGACTGAAGAAGTTGTTTATGAAGGAGTCATTGAATCTTTGACTGGCCGATTTGTTTAAAATACTGAATCCTTCAGTAATGAAAACAAGGCTGAGTGTTGCTGTGAGATGCACTATGGTTCTGCTGTGAACTATTTTCACTGCTGAAACGGCTTAAATATTGCATCAAAAATGTAGGCATTTACTTCACAGACTGTAAGTCGTACTTGACGAAACCATGGAAGCGAATCTGAGCAGATTCAATAGCAGAGAGGCATGAATACATTCTAGCCATTTCATTCTTAACCAACGTACAGCTGGAATAAGGAATTAAACTTGAGCGTTTGAGCAACCGAACACGAACCTGAATCGAACTGAATCATTCTTTTGAACCGGTTCTTTTTAGTGAACCGGTCGAACCAGTTCACCAACTCGAACTGAATCGTTCAAAACAGTATGCGTCTTGTGTCAGCGCTGATCCAAAGTTTTCTACAGTTACTTGCTTACGGACGTGCCTGACAGTCTCTCTCACTCGAAATAAACCAATATCAATGTTGAAAGAACTGATGAGCACGAGCAGCTGATACTGAGCATGCGTACTAAGTTACCGTATGTTATAAAAATCCATGATCCAATTTAGCGGAAGTGAGAGACTCAGTTTTGAATGCTTATATCTCCTAAATGCAAATTTTGTTGTTGTTTTAGAACACACCAGCTTATTCATAATCTAAGGCTAACATATTCATACTAAGAGCTGAAAAATATAACTTTCAGGGTGCCTTTAAACTCTCGTATGAAATCATTGTTACATTTTCAGTCGTCATAGTATTCAGGAAAGCGCTAATTTCGAGCCCTGTGAGTGTGTGTGTATATGTATAATCAAATTTTACAGACACACACACACACAGCTACATATCAGAGATATTTGGGTTCTATAATTTAAAACTTACCAGTGGGTCTTCTTCTGATTTTCCCTGAGCAGGTTGTTTGCCTGGACTGCCCTCCTGAGATATATTGTACCCGTCAAACCCTACGTCCTCTGGCCGAAGTCGCAGCAGGGAATGCCATTCGTGTTGTTGTGGACTTGCCACCCAAGGGAAGCTCTCCATCACCCACTTCGCAGGGTCTTCCCATGCTGCCTTGCGCCCATACATCTGCAGAACACATGAGAAAGTGTTTGTTTGCTTGCTTTAGCATCCTACTACAACAACAGATACAACATATGATGGAAGACAGCCTTACCTGTAGCCCTTCTTTCACAGCCTCCAGCATGTAAGGAATGATGGAGTAGTTCCACAGATCGGTGAACCACACTCTTGAGCCTTCTACATCCATTGGGCAGGACAGAAAGAGCCGAGGACCTACGGTGATTTTAATATAAACCATCATTAGAAGGAATTGAGAAACTATCAGGTAGGCATCTGGGTGATTGTGACTGGCTGTGGCCTCACTCACCAATTGTGACATCAGAAGAACTATGTGTTTCCAAAAAGCGGTTGAGATTATGCCAAACACACGGGATCCACTCTATAATTTTAACTAGTTCGCCGTTCCTCACACGACTGCTGATCTCGGTTTCTAGAAGCCTCCGCCGTAGGAATCGACCCAGAAAACCTTTCACTGGTTCAGTATGATTGGCACATAAAATCCATCTGAAATAAGAGACCAAGTATAAGACCAGTTCCACCTTTATGCATGCATTTGAGAAATGCTTGTGGGCCAACTTGTTGAGATTTGGGGTATTGCACCCAACTAACTCCAGTTGTATATGCTGTATTATAATATAAAAAAAAAAAAAATCAGGAAAATAATGCTAATACAGCATCACACTGTAATCTGAATGGGATTATACCTGAAATTATGATGAAGATGTAGATTTGGAGTGGGTGATGGGGTTTGATTCATGGTTCCAATGATGCATGGACTGTGAGAAAATAATACAAATAAATATGAATTAAATATATTGTGAAACATGAAAATATCTGCATTTTCACAGAATCCTTCATTGATATAAACTGGTGTGTGTGTGTTGCTCACCACTGGTGGCTTTTGCAGTTGAGCAGCCCGTTGAAAATCTCGGCCAGCGAACTGACATGGTGAAGGTTATCCAGTATGAGCACCACAGGCATGTCCACAGCCGGTTCACTGTTTTTACACTGGTCCGCCAGGTTGGACAAGTACTGCTTCAGCTCCTGTATAATACGCATTGAACCTTATTACAGGAACCTTTAAATTTACCTCACGCTGAAAGCGAAAACTTGTTTTTTTGAAGTAGTTCACTTTTAAAAAAAACTTTTGCTGATAATTTACTCACCCCAATGTCATCCAAGATGTCCATGCTTTTTTTTCTTCAGTTGAAAAGAAATTAAGGTTTTTGATGAAAACATTCCAGGATTTTCTCCATATAATGGACTTCAATGGGAACCAAACGGTTCAAGGTCCAAATGAGAGTTTCAGTGCTGCTTCAAACGACACAAGACGATGAATAAGGGTCTTATAGGACCCTCCGAGTCATGACTCAAAAAAAGATTTGTTCATTTTGATGAACGAGTTTGAACAGGAGAGTCACAAACGCTCATCACAGACCAGAGCAAGGCGAGCTTTTGTGCTTATAAAACTTAAACTTTTTTATTTATTTTTTAAATCACCAATCGTTTCGCTAGATAAGACCCTTATTCATCGTCTGGTGTCGTTTGAAGCAGCACTGAAACTCTCGTTTGGACCTTGAACCGTTTGGTTCCTATTGAAGTCCATTATATGGAGAAAAATCCTGGAATGTTTTCATCAAAAACCTTCATTTCTTTTCAACTGAAGAAAGAAAGACATGGACATCTTGGATGACATGGGGGTGAGTAAATTATCAGCAAAAGTTTTTTTTATAAGTCAACTACTCCTTTAAATCAGCTTCCCATAATCTCCCACTGCTGTTAATAAATGATTGTATTCCATTTTATTTATTCAAGCAGCTTCGCTGACCTTAGTAGTTTTGTTATCAACATTGAAGGTGGCGATTGCTTGATGCTCCAGATGTTTTCCCTCTTTTCGGACCATATACTCGGCTAGTCTGCTGGCCAGAAAGCTCTTCCCTGTGCCAGAGGGCCCTGAAAAGATGATTCGTCTGTGTTTCTCAAGCTGAGAGATGTATCGCTGCAGAACCGGCTTTGGAATGAGCGTCTCGAAAGCCAAACTGTCCAGACTGCCGTCAGACAAGTCTGTTGAAGGAGAGAGAGGGTTTAGATCATGAGGAAACTGCCAGTGACCTCTTTTGTCAATGTGTCATGTTTTCTTATAAAAGAGCACTGAGCGTACCTTTCAGCTTGACAGAGATGGTATCGCTTTCTCCCACAAGATAACCGCAGGGCAGGAGTTCTGGTGTATCTGCATCACTGGCGCGATGGATGTCTCCAATGCTGTACTCCATCACACTGTCAGTGTTCAAACCCAAGTGTGTGACAGGATCTACACAGATGATATATTCCTGTTGGAGTGATAGAAACATGACGTGTGATTGTGTTGTGAAGAACTTTTCGGCTCAAATGTCACTGTGAGTTTTTGTACCTTAAAAAGGCGCCTGACTACCCCGTCTAGTACGTCCCATTTGGTTTTTCCACTGACACCAATGCAGCCCAGCAGGAACTGAGAAGGTCTACACTCCTGCCAAAAGCAACAGAAAGAACCGCTTGAGGAGACAGTGATGGGATCACAGGGTTATTTTAGCTGAAATGTCTTTGACTTGTACCTCTTTCCAGTCTGGATCCTTCTCCAGACTGACCACAACCTTCACATGCTGTCCCTCTTTCCAGGAACTTCCATCTCCACTATCTTCTAGCAACATATCTATGCATCAACAAAGAATTTCAATAGTTTCTAACAGATTTCTTTGAAAAATACCATAATTCTTAAATTTGAAGTCTTTTATACCTAAGCTTGTGGATTCTGTGAGGCTAAGTTGAGAGGAAAGGCCAACAGACGAAGGGGAGATGGACATCTGAGAAGGCGCTCTGTTACCGCTTCCTCGGCTCTCAATCTTCAATCGGTCATTTTCCACTTTTAGCCTTTCGATCTCAATCTATTAGAATAAAATTACGTTTGTGACACCTCTTCAAAATTAAGCAACATTACATCAAAACATATTTAATGTTTAAGTAAGAAGTATGTATAAGAGCATTTAAACAATGTGTTTAAGAAGACGCTCACTTGCATGCGGTTCATGGATTCGCGAAGCTGGTCCAGTTGGTGGGCAGAGCTTAAAGCCTCCAATCTGATGTCTGTAAGTTTCATTTCTTTATCGCGCAGATCGCTGCGCAACTGCATGACTGTTTCAGCCTCGCTGTCCGTACACTCAGAGATCCTGTGAAAAACGCATACGTTATATCACACACAAAAAAGACAATGATTAAGAAATGCATTAGGAAAACACAAAAAATATAACAAGCAATATATAAACAAAAATAAATACAAACAAAACAAAAAAATACAATCATTTAAGATTAGTTTATTGTTTTGTGTTTTGGAAAAATCACAAACCATCAGAAAATGATTATCTGTGAAAGTGAATTTTCTATTAATGAACTATAGAGTAGTGAATAAATACGTCGATTCATAAATAGCAGCAATACTTAATTATTTATGAATCAGGGCACACAGTTTTAAAATTAGTAATTGCTCAGGATGAATAAGTCCTGGAAGGCAAATCTAGCTGTCATTGGCTGAACGTCAGTTCTTGGAACTGATCATTGGTATGATTTGTGCCATTCTCTTTTACCGTGCCAGTGAGGCAGACCTCATGGTCTCTCTGCTACAGCCCCAGACAGGCCCGTGTGCAGGCAGGGAGGACAGTTGAGGACTATGAACATACACATATATCAACCATGAGAGAAACTCTGAGGGTGTTCCATGTTGCATTGGACATTTATAAACTGTTATATCCGACAGTGCCATCACATTGAGAGTTACTCAGTAGCAACATAAAATCTCAGTGTGTGTAAGTTTGTAGTTTATAAAATGGGTGGTATTTTCCAAATACACCACCTAGTCCTAGACTAAATCACATTGTAAATGGTGCTTGTCTATTATAAATCCTTCCTCCATCCAAAATAAGGGTTTAAAAGGATAGTTCGTCAAAAAAAGAAGATATTTTGAAGAATATCAGTAACCAAAAAGTCTTTTTTTTTCCATACTCTGGAAGTTGATGGTGCTTGGTTACTGATATTCTTCAAAATATATTCTTCTGTGTTCAGTAGATGGAAAAAAATGCATACAGGTTTGGAAAAAATGGAGAGTGAGTATATAATGACAGAATTTGAATTTTTTGGTGAACTATCCCCTTTAAGAAGTTTCCAGAAATGTGCTAACCAAACCAAAATTGTTAACAGATTGTTATTATTATGGGAAAATAAGAAATAATAATACATTGATTATTTATAACAAACGAATAATATAATAATAAAAGAAATATAAAAAAATAAATAAAATTAAAAGAAATTATTTTTTTTAAATAAACAGTAATAAATGATAATAATTATACGTTTAATTAATGTAGAATTAATAATAAAATATTTAATTTTGTTTTAATGTAACACGTGCACACTAAAAATAGAATAAGGGATTATGGGTTTAGTTTGGGTTCATTGTAATACTATTTTTATTAACAGATTTTATTATTATTAATAATAATAAAAAAAAGAGTAATAAATGAATAAAATAAAATGTATTAATATAATAATATAAAATTATTGTTGTGAGGATCTTACAGAGAGTTGGAGTGGGATTTGCGTATCATGGGAGAAGAGGCTGTCGATCCGCTATATGGAAGTTTGGGTGAAGATGGCAGAGAAGAGTCCGTCATCTCTTCAATGTCTGAGTGAGAGGATGCCGATTTGGGAGACTTTTTCTTCCCGAATGCTTGTTTAAAGGAGCTCCGCAGCTGTGGAAGAAACAATCTGTTACTAAGACACTTTTGTCACAAAATCTGCCAGTGGTCCCTTTAAAACTGTCAAAGAGTATAAAAGGTTATATTAAAAATATTCTGAAGGAGATATTTATCTCATCTTACCTCAAACACCTGTACCATGACATGAAAGCACAGGGGAAATCGGACAAAAACATTTAGCTAAAACGTTAATCGCTTTTGGTAGAGTTTAATATAATCTAAAAATGTGTTTTGGATCCAGTCTATGACATTCTAAAGGAGGGGAGATCATCTACACTACATAAATTGAATAAATCACACTGGTGCCATCTCTAAAACCACACAACACCATCAACACTATAACAACAAGGTTAGAATCACATACATAGTTATCAGGTGCTTTTCCTCCCCCAGATGATACAGCCTGAATGCAAAAGGACAAATGAATTTACGATACCGATAACTGATATTCATTCTAAACTTTTAACAAAAACAAAGCCAACAGGTATCAACCCACACCAAACTCACAATATCATTCTGTTTATAAGCACATGCTGCAGTTCTGTCGTCTGCCACTTTAAAGGCTCGAGCTCTTTAAAGCAACATGGACTCTGATTGGCTGTCAATGTTTTTATCAAAAATCATTCTGAAAGCATTTCTAACAATATCGTTTCTCTGTGCTGTAATCATCATAGTTGTAATGTGGACTATTTAATGTTTTAATTACAGTTATCATCCTTGGTGTGAAGAGACTTTGGCAGCTAAATAACTAGGACACTTTTTCTTTGGTAAAATATTCACATTTCCTCCACCACATGAAGATTGATGACTAAAATAATCAAAAGAATTAAAATAATCCAATCTAGTATTGGCCTAACTCCAAATAGCCTGTTTAGTCTTGGAGAGAAGCATGTATTAAGAGAAAAGAAGATATTTTGGAAGAACTGTATGCATTTATTTGATGGACAGGCTGGAACACTTACCCAGTTCTTCTTCTTCTTCTTGTTCTTAGCGTCGAACTCCAGGTTGCTGCCGATGCTGGAGTGGCTGGTGGCGCTCGTCATGCTGGAGACGCTGTCCGAGGAAGGCTGCCTGTGGATCCGCAACTCCCGCCCGGACTGAGGCGACCCGCTAACAGAGTCTAGAGAAACTGAGGGAGATAAGGAATAATAAAAACGAACCATAGGCAAAAATTTGTGTTACTGTTTATTTTATTGCAATAAAGACATGAGAGCTCACCTTTGCGGTTTGTTAATGTTGGGTCTGGTGTGTTAATGACTCCATTGATTGTGGCTTGAGTCGCCGAGTTCTGCTTCTGAAGGAGCTCAATGTTCTTCCTCAAGTCATTCAGCTCTGAGTCCTGCAAGTACACAAATATTAAACGACAAAATTATTTTTAAATATCACATCAAATGCTATTTAGACTCTTTATGATGTTGTTTTCCTCATAGGGACATTTTCACATGGTACAATGTTCAGGTTAGAGTATCTCCATGAGGACTTCAAAAAGCAGCTCTTTCTCACACACACACACACACACCTTCTGTTCCGCCGTCACCGTCAGACTCTGCAGCCGGATGGTCATGTTTCCTAAACTCTGCTCAAAAGCCGCCACAAGGTGAGACTGGGGACACATAAATTCATTTACAAGGTAAATCAGTTATATTTTAATAAGCAAAATGCCATAAATGGACAAAGACTCGGAGAAGTAGTAGAGTTAAACCAGATGTTGAGCAGTCAACTAAAGCATGATCCCATTTCTAGAAAAATGTGGGTTCCAGCTTGTCAGTAATGCATCAAAAAGTGCCAAATATGTCTGTGAGACTGGGCTTTGAGATAAAGACAAGCTGTGGCATGAACTTGGGTTTTTAAGCTGCAAAAACTGGTAAAAGCTCCATTCATCTCCATTTCCAATTTAAAGACCCTCACCTAAAGTAAACAAACCAGAAATACCTTTTAAAATTGTATTGATAATACACTGTAAAAAAAAAAAAAATTGTTGTTGGTTTAACCTAAAAAACTAAGTAACCTGGTTGCCAATAAATTTTAAGTTGATTGAACTGGAAAAAGTGAGTTAATACAATGAAGGAGATTGATTTAATCATCAGAAACTCAAAATAATAAGTTATCTGAACTAAATAAATTATAGTTAATAAATAATAGTATAGTTAATATAAATTATTTTAGTTGATTTGACAAAAGAAAAAATGTTAATGATAAATAAAAATGATAAATCTTGAAAATATTTTTTTTACAGTGTATATTTTCAACAACAAATAATACAATTACACAATAATAAATACTACTAATAAATAATACATAATTACAATAGAATTATTATCATTCTTATATAATATATAGTAGGTGACGCCTTATAAAAATTGTATTTATAATATATTACAATGCAATTAGGTATTGTTATTGGGTAATAACATACCACTGGATGGCACGATTGACCAATTAGAATCAAGTATTCCACAGAGCTGTAGAATAATAATAAACAACATGCATCCCACAAAACACACCCACAACTGCAAATTTAATTAAACTTTTGTGGTTTGTATATGGAAAACCACAGAGTAACGTTCACTAAAGCATGTACACAACAGCTTGATAACTCAAAAACATGAGTCACACAACCTGTTCCACACGACAACAAAAGATTAATCTCAAGAGCTCAAATTATCAATCAAAATCCTCAAAATATACTCCCTCAAGGTAACATAATACGGAAAAAAAACGGCTCATAAAATAAATCATTAAAAGCATCAAAAAGACAAACAGAGCAGTCAAACCACGATCTTTACCCCACCTCACTGAGATCTCGCTTCCTCCATTTTACTTGGCTCTTGGGGTGACCGAGTGGCTTTGGTTTAGTCCTCTCACAGACCCTCCTCAAGGATGGGTAATAATTCAGAGGCTGCCAAATTACTCGAGTGCGGTTGCCTTTGCCTGTCAACATCTCTGGGGTGATGAACTGCGCGTGAAGACACCGAGGACGACGTGCACATTCGATTTCTGCTCAGCTGTAGCCGCCAAAAATGAGCAACCACGCTCGTAAACAAGTTACACAACAAGCGTATCAACATGCAACATAAGCCGATAATCAAGGGCCTGGAGATCTGGATGACTTCCATCGGAGGGAGTCACAGGTTTGTGTTTGGGCATGTGCTGTTTTAAACATCAGATAACCTTCAATAAGTTTTTCCTCAAAGGGATTTTTATTATCCAAGCAGAGTAGCAGTCGGTGCAAAACCCAGAAGTGCAAAAGCCTCCAGTTTTGTTTGTGAAGCCTGTATGAGAGCTGACGGATGGATGGGGGTTTTAGGATGTGACGATTCATTAGGTTATGAAGGCCAAATGCGGGCTGTCATATTTGTAGTTATTGAGCAAATAATTCCACTCCGCATGACACACAGATCAAATTACAAACAATCTTACTCAATACACTGTAAAACACTAGAACAAAAGTTAAAATCACTCTTTTACCAACTGTTAAAGGTGTACAAAAGTCAAAACATCACTACAAAATCCAACTTGAAGCAGTTCTGCAATTACTAACCACATCTTTGGTAACACCACAATTTCTGAAGCCAAAAACCATTTAAAATGACTACTGAGCATATATACACACACCGATGAGCCAAAACATTAAAGGGATACTCCACTTTTTTTGGAAATAGGCTCATTTTACCACTCCCCCAGAGTTAAACATTTGGGTTTTCCCGTTTTCAAATCCATTCAGCCAATTTTGGGATTTTTAGAAGAATATCAGTAACCAGAGAGTTTCTGGTCTCATTGACTTCCATAGTATATTTTCTTCCTACTATGGAAGTCAATGAGACCAGAAACTGTCTGGTTACTGATATTCTTCTAAATATCAAAAAATCAGCTGAATGGATTTGAAAACAGTAAAACTCAACTATTTAACTCTGGGGGAGTTGTAAAATGAGCCTATTTCCAAAAAAAAAAAAAAAAAAGTGAAGTATCCCTTTAAGACCACCAGCCTAATATGTGGTTGGTCCTGAAACAGCACCGACCCACCGAGGCATGGACCTCTGAAGGTGCCCTGTGTCATCTGGTACCTAGACGTCAAGTTCTGTAGGCTGCGAGGTCAAGCACATCCCACAGATGCTCATCTGGATTAAGATCCATAGGCCAGGGCAACACCTTGAACTCTTCATCATATTCTTCAATCTATTCCAACAATATTCTTCAATCCATTCCTCAACACCATTGTCATGAATGGGTATACCTGGTTTGCAGAAATGTTTAGGTAGGTGGCACTTGTCCAAAACCAAAACGACTGCTTAGTGTACTCACGTTGGCACTGAGCTGTGTTGTAAGAGCCGAGACCTTCTCCTGTGATGAGTCCAGTTCTCTCCGAAGCTTACGGATCTAAACACACATTAAAGTCAGTTATTCAAACACAAGTCATGCTGCTAGAAGCTGATTTCTGAATCTTATGTGGAACCAGTTTGTGGTTTCTCATATAATAATGTGCTAAGGAGAGACTGGCCCTTGATCAGCATGAAAGAGAAACTTTGGTTTCAGACATAAAACACAGAGATTAAAGAGTAGATATCAAGGACAGTTAACAAGAAGACCATCATGACAAACACAGACATTTTCAAGGGTTGAAAAAAGAGTTACATCAAAGTGTGTTTAAAATTACAAACCAGCTGAGAAAAACAGTGTTTTGGACAGTTTACAGGCTCCCATGTGCAACACACTCAATAATTTACATTATAAGAAATGATGGGTGCTGTTCTCACCTCTGTCTGAGCCTTTTCTTCAGGCTAGAGATGGACAAGGAGGAAAACATAAAGATTAATTGTTTGAAAAAGTTGAGCATCCATGTAAAGAAAAGGTACTTAAATGGGTTAAGTTCACCCACAAATGAAAATTCTGTCATCCTTTATTCACCCTCATGTTGTTCTAAACCTGCTCCTTTCTTTTGTTGAACACAAAAGAAGATATTTTGAAGAATGTTGGTAACCAGCCAGTTGATGGCACCCATTGACTTCCATAGTATTTTTTCCCCCTACTATGAAAGTCATTGGTGCCATCAATTGTTTGCTTACCAACATTCTTCAAAATATCTTCTTTTGTGTTCAACAGATGTATACAATAAACGTTAACCAACAAACTTTAGCATTTAGCATCAATTTAAAATCTTTTGACTCACCGTAGAGTAAACTGATGACGTGCTAGACACCAGAGACAAAGAGGAGCCATGAACTATGGAGAGAAGAAAACTTCAGTCAAAATAATATCAAGCATTACAGAGGCATGTGAGTCATTGCAAAACTGGCATGAAAAATTAGCAGGATAACCTAGCACATGCTGAAACACCATGAAGTGCTTATAACCGTTACAGCCCGTATATTTATGATAATGTGTTTTTCTTAATGTGTTGGCGAACCAACAAACATAGAAAGAACAAAAAGGCAACAAAAGCTTGAAAAAAACGAATGTACTGTGAAATCATTTGTGGATTAGAGGGTATTAAACGTGACGTTGCGATACAAGGTTATAAATCCCCTTTACTGCATATTTGCAAAGAATTATGAGTTTGTGTGTTCCGCTCATTGTATTTTCAAATATCAAAAAAATAACTATGTCAAGTACTTAAACTAAACTGCCTTTGAGGTTGCAAAAGTCAGTGTTTATGACAAATCTTAAGGAATAAATGATTCCTTCACGCTCCACAGAAGCAGCTTAAGGGCCGTTTTAGCCTCACTGAACTTTGAGAACATTAGAGAACATTGAGAACAATTTTTTTAATCACTAAGCTATTATATTATTTTACTTTAGAAAGACATGAATATTGTTGACTCGAAATATTGAATATGGTTGGCTCTCTAACAATTTGCTTGTGATGTCAGAAGAGTCAATTTGGGTAAAGGACTCTGCTAAATGAATACATATTGATTACTAATTGTATGAAAAAAATTATTTGTTTATACACACACACTCACGGGACACATTTAGGTACACTATTAGGTTCATTAATAGGTACACCAGTTTAACTGCTCATTTAACACAAATATCTAATCAGCAAATCACATGGATTTTTATAGATGGGAACCAATGCTTTTAGGTATGCAGTCATGGTCAAGATGACCACACTGGGTGCCACTCCTGTCAGATAACACAAGGAAACTGAGGACATTCTGTTGTGACATTCAGATGGTCGGGTCAGAATTTGGTGTAAACAACATGAAAGTATGTAAATTATATATTCATTTCAAGAAATACACATTCATTTAATGGTAAATCCTCTCTGAGCTTAGTTTTACATTTTTTAATAAAAAAACAAACAATAACCCTGAAAAATGTCATTATATTGAGTCATACATCATGGTGAACAGCAACTTTGTTCTGTTTTACAAGCCTAAACACCACTGCTCATTGGCACATTGAAATCAACACCATCACCACCTTAGAAAGACATGAATCATAAATACAGAAAGCAAAAGAGAGCCTTGGGATAAGTGGTGTTGAGCCAAGGCAGGCGAGTTAATCATCAAATCAACATTAACTGTGAGGTAAAGGCTGCCAGGCCAACAAAGCCGCTCTTTGTTTGTTTATGCTTTGGCGCAAGTAAGGACATACGTTACAGCCTGACTTTGTCAAAAGCCCTAACATTAATGACAACCTATCATTTAGTTATTAGGTAGCAGAACAATGCAGGTCTATTAGCTCTTTTCCAAAAACATGATGTTAAATTGGTAAATTTTGATGGCAGACAGAAATGATAATAGTTCTTAGTATACACAGCAAATTACACACACACACACACACACATACACAAAAGGTCAAACTCCACTACAACCAAACTGTTCAATATAAGTATCAATCTGAAGTCTCACCTTCTTCCAGGCACTCACGGAACGATCCGGAGCTGCTCATAGTGCGGCTCTTTTCCTCCAGGCTCATTGAGGAATTCCTCAGACGTGGGTCAATGTAGGGGTCATACGGGCCGTCGTGACTTCCCTGACCATTGGTCCCGCGCAAAGTTCCCATCTGTGAAGCAGTGGTGGGACTGCCTGGAGTGTCAACACAGGGATCAAGGTTAAATAAGCACTACGATTGAACCCTAATGACATGAATGTGCATTCAAAGTTCACAGTGAGGGGGAGACTAGTACTTATTTCATTATATGTAAACCAATAAATTAAATCATAATCCATAAGTGAGGATTCTAACATAAAATTGATCTTTTTTTTGGTAGTTAACTTGCTGTTAGTACCTTTTTTTGCTAGTTATGATACTCAACCACAAAATAATATTACATAATAAAACAATGTGTGATTCTGTTAAATCAATAATTATTTTTACGTTATGGCAGATGACCAATAAATGGCTGTTTTTTTAAATTCTATACTATTTTGACTAAACAAATGAAAAATAAAACACTAAAAAACAAATATCGATCATTTTAATCATGCTACAAGTGAATTTAGGCATCACAGCATCATAATGTAACAGATCAAAAAAGGTAATTTTGAGATTTAGATCAGAGCAAAGGTACTCTAAATATAAAAATGGGGGAAATTAGCATTTTGAAATAACATTTACATAATTAAATAAACAATTTCAATTGATAATGGTTCAAACAACAATGGAGGACTGATCATTTCGCTAACTGACTGACTGGACAAACCAACCAAGTATTGTTTTTTCTTTTCTCTTTTTTCATATTCTTATGTTGGATTTGCCAGTTGAGACTTTTTGGCATGAGACTTTGTGACTGTGGTTTAAAGTGCTGAGAACTCTTTTTCAACTGCACAGTGGACTGGTTGCTCAGTGCTGGCCTGAATGGACTCTGAAAGGTCTAAGTACATGTACAAAAACTATGCTGAATTGAGAACTTGGTCAAGAGCTGTTAATGTGAACTGTGAAACTGTTGGTGTTTACACCCTCAATGAGTTGAAAGGAAAATAATCTGACTTTGAATGAGCAGATCTGATTTTGTTTGAATACTTGTCATGGTAAATGAACTAAATGAACCCCAGACTTGGGAATTGAGTATTTGAGTTGTTGGAGAACTTTTGAAGAAATTGAAGAACTTTTGGTTTCTGATTTAGTTTTTGTTTGTTTGTTTTTTTGCCTTTGTGAAACATTAATGTTATTTTTTTCTCACTGAATGTTATCTTGATCAACAAAAACTAATAACAGTTTATATGAATTGAGCCTATTGCTGTTGTTGTTAATTCTTCATCCACATATTAAGGGTTCTACTTTATTTGTTTTTTTTAAATGTCTGAATCCTTTGTAAGGTTGACTGACTAAACAAAATATAGTAGGTTTAAAAACCTGCTTGGCACCCCAGTCAATTAGGTCAATCCGTTACAATTTAAAATTAAAATTAAAACCAATACCAATTACAACTGATAATAATAATATCAACTAATAACTGATATATAGTGCATGCCCAACCACAGAAGTAGTCGTTAAGACACCGGTTACACAAGTTTGCTTGTTTTTACCAAGTGTGCTAAAGTTGAAGCGTGTGCCGGAGGGCGAGCTGATTGTAGAGGCAGGGGTGTAGGGGGTTGAATCTGAGAGGCCAACAGCTGAGGGGGAACACAGCCAATCACCGGGCTCCTCGTGACCTCGGACCTGAGGCCCATGGGCATACCTGCAGGTTTAAAACAAGTGTACATAAGTCCGTAGAACAGAATGTTGTTTTTCTCTTTCGCATGAAAGTTCTCATGAAAAGAGCTCCAAGAAAAACGCCACAATGCCAGGAAAATCACAGTTATCCAATTTATGGTGGGTAACAGAAAACCAAAGTCCACAGCTATGAACTCCCATATTTATTTGCATACTGCAATATTTAACCTGCAGGTACATATGAAATAAATACCATATTTCATTGTGGACTAAACAAATCAAAACTCTGATTCAAGAGTTGATCAAAACTCAAATATACTGGTATACTATTATCATATGGTATGACTTAATCAGGGCTCCAGTCTATGGAGCCACTGGCTCATAAAATGTTACATTTTGGAGATAAGTTACATATTTAGAGTGACTGAATTAAAATATGTATTATTAAAAAAAAAATCAGTTGTGAACGTGTTTAAAAACAAGTAACGGTCCATTTTGAATCAGACATAAGAATGTCGAAAAAAAGATTCACTGACAGACCAAGCCTGAGTCAAACGAGTTTGAGACCGTTTTATCATTCTTTTTGACTGAAACTCATTAAAAGAACCAGTTCAAAAGATTAATTTGTTTGTAAATTGGTGAAACTGTGAATTCAGGAAACTTAAGTAATCAAATCCACCTTACAGGTAGATTTTAAATCACAAGCCCTAATCAAAATGCACACAAGCAAGACAAAACCATGAAGCAAAAGTGATCATTTGACCACACATACAGTACAGTATAGCATTACCTGTCCTGTTTCCATGGCAGAGTGTTGTGGGTAAATTTAGGGCTAGCAGAGGGAGAGGACTGAGGGCTAGAGAAAGGTACAGGGGCAGACAAAACAAAAAGAAGCAGATAAAAGAGATAGAAAAAGGAGAGGAGATAAGGAAATGATTAAAGAGGAGTGCATGTAAAGGAAGGTAGATCGTAAGTAGAGATAGCAATGCTATTTTCAATTCACAAACAGCTGGAAGCATCATTTGTGTACATGTTGAACAGTTAATTTCTTACCTGTCTGAGAGGCCAGTTCTAGCACTGTTGGTCCGATTAAGACATAAACCTTCCTTTCCCAAGGAAACATTTATAGAGTCACTACTGGTGTGGTTGGAGCTTTGACAAGGGAAGCCCAATCCATCCCTCCCTCCCCAAGGAAAGAAAGCCGATCCTGTGCTGGAGGCCACAGAGGAAAGCGTCTGCTCTCCATGACCTCCAGAGGGCACCGTCAGATTGTCACTGTAAACTGGACCGCTGCCTCCGCTGGTGACAGATGGTGTCTCCAGACAACCATTCTGCTGGATGGACTTGGTATGGGGATTGGAGATGATGGTGGAGTTCTTCATGTTCTCCATGGTGGTGACTGGAGCTTGCTTATTGGAAGATTTGCTACCAAAGAGTCTGGTTGCAAAGGGGGAAAGGGATTTAACAATGAGACCGAATAAAAAAATTTAACTAAAATGGTCGCAGTGCGACCAAAAGTAAACATTGTGTGACAATAATTGAAAATCTAGGTTGTCAGTTGCCAGCGTCACTTGCACGCAGCAATGACCACAGCTGTGATGTGATGTTTAGTGAAAATATTCATGAAACTATCTCAAACTCACTTGTAAGTTAGCAGTTTGAATCAGATTAAATCAGTTAGAGAATCGTTCATAGAGCAGGCATGCAATGAGTGATTTCCTAAAAAATGACTATTGTGAACCATTTGTTTTTAATGCGTCAGTCAAAAAGATTCTTGAAACGGTCTCAAAAATCACATGCAAATTAGCAGTTTGAATCAGTAAGAGAATCATTCATAGCTTAGGCCGCATTGACTGATTTGCAAACAAATGACTCTTATAATGTTTTTTACTGCGTCAGTTTAAGACTTACAAACTTTTTTTAAGTTAGTGGTTTAAATTAGATTCACAGTTATTAGTGAGTTCACAATTGACTCCCTCACTGAATCATGAGTCAGTTTTTGGTTTTGGTTATGGCAGATTTAAAGTGAACTTGGAACTGTAACTGTGATGTATATTTTAGGTTTGTAGGGATCATTCTATTTACAGACTGGTTATTAATATGAAAACACATAGTTAAAGATACATTTTCAAAACAGAAATCTGTTGTAATAAACGGTAATAAAAAAAACTGAAATATTCTACAAAAAATTGTATAAATTATGCTATTCATTAACAAAGTAAAGTCTTTTGTTGTTGGGTGTCCAATCCTGCTCCTGGAGAGCCACTTTGTTTCAAAGTTTAGCCTAATTAAACACACCTGAACCATCTAATGAAGGTCTTTGGGATCAGTAAATGCCTAAGCAAGTGTGTACGGGCAAATTGGAGCTAAACTCTGCAGGACATTGGCCCTCCAGGAGCAAGATTGAACACCCCTACTCTTCACAAAAGAAAATATGAGATAAAGAAAGTCTGGCATCTCTGATTTTTCTCATTACTTCATGGACTGACTGGTCAGATAACATCAGTCTGGTTCTACTAACTAGGAGAGCAATCAGTCAAAGCTAGCAAGCTAATCAGCTAGAACAAATACTAGCTTCTTGGTCTGTGCCATGTCTTAGAGAAACATCAAGAATCCCGAAGAAAATGCACTTGTGGTGGCCAGAAGTCGCCTTTCAAGCCTCAGAATCTCAACCAACATCAAATCGCTCAGATAAACAATGAGTTCTGTGAACGCCGTCCAGCACCCAAGGAGGAGAACATTCTGGAACTCACACAACACAGCTGAGAACTGCTGTGTAAATATTTGAGGGACCTAAAATGGTGCTTTCATCCACATCAAGTAGAAATCATGCTTTTGCTAAATACATTTTTCATCAACAGCCTTTCAAGTCTTCATAAGGTGGAGAACTTACCTACGAAGGGTTGGCGAGGACATTTCTGAATACTTTCCTCCTGTTTGCCTTCCAGCTTGGCACTGAGTTGGCATCCCCGTCTGGGTAGTTGCACTAGTCTTAAGTACCTGGCTCTCCACATCGGAAAATATACCCTTCTCTCGGTCCGTCTGGTTAGTAGTTCCCATTGGGGACTTGGCTAAGTTGCGACTCTTAGGGTTGGGAAGTGTGGCAGTACCCTTATTGCAAAAATTAGCGTCAAAACTCGAGATGTTAGTGCGGTTAGAACAGCGAGAGGTGCCGGTACGGCTAGGTCTCGGTAAACTGCGATACTGAAGAGTTGTCCGAGCACTTGGAGGAAGGTATCCATCATCAAGAGCCGTCTGCCGACACACAATTCGACCCCCAGAAAATCCGACCGATTTTGGTAACTTGCCCACTGTAGCGGAGCCGCTAGTTACCACGGCACCACTCGTGGTTATCGTCCCCATTGCGCCCGGAGCCTTCTTGAAGCCAAAAGTACTGGTCGGGGTGCGTACGGTTGAATTGAGTGGAGGTTTCTTGGTGTCATCAACACTTGAGGAATGAGTGCCGTTGGAGCGACCTTTCTCTGACACCTTAGCATCGTCGGTCTTACTTGTGGGATGATCGACGACACGGACTGTCGAGCACAAAATGAAATCATGTTTTCAACAGTTTTGAATACAGTAGCACAGTCCATGTCGTGACTCATCTGAACATAAGCCTTAGCCAAGGTGATATGTGATAAGATTTATTTGGCTGTAATCCCTCAAGAAACCACATGAAATTAGAGACATGGCTCAGTCAGCGTTGTTATCGTTACCTAAAACTATGTATAAAAAATGCTAATTGAAATATTCGATTAAACAAACTTTAAAATATTTAAATCGATTCAAACTTAAATAAAAAAAGAAACAAATTTGCTAAACTGAAAGAAAAATAAAGCAAATATTAACAAAATATATAAATGACTAAAGCACATAATATAAAAAAAACTAAACTTAAAAAGAAAATCTCAATATAAAAATCAAAATATTAATAAATACTATAATGCTATATAAATAACACTGGACTGTATTTAAGCCCCTGTAATTCTTATTTTTTAGCTCTGTAAGCAAAAAAAAAAACTGTAAACAAAATATTTTACAAAATACAAAAAATAATCTGTTTACATTTCAGTTATTTTTAAAGGAACAAATCAACCTAAAATGAAAATTCTGACATCATTCATTCAGCCTCATGTCACTCCAAACCTGTATGACTTACATTCTTCTGTGGAGCACATTGAAAAATGCCTCACTGTTTTTTGTCCGTACATAAAACATGTTAGTGTTCTTCATATTAACTTCTGTGTTCCACAGAATACAGGTTTGAAAGACAAAAGGTTATGCTAATTGTAACATCCATGCAACATCATGTCTAAACTATTACCATTTGCCTTGAGTGAGCTGCAGTTTGTAGGTGTTGTTGCCTTCGTCCGTGGGGAAGTGACGGCCACCTGAGCGCTCATTCCCCGCCTCCAAGAGCCCGTCTGGGAGATAGTAGGAGTCTTGCGACCCATCAAGCTCCGTTCTGATTCATCGGAGAAATCTAAAGGCTTGTGGTTCCATTTGGTTGTGGTCTCCATGTTGATGCCACCGTTAGAGCAGCCTTCTGAAGGTTTAAGGTCGTTGTTGGACCAGTTGGGGTTGTGTTTCACTGCAGAGTGCTTCTCTGCATCCGTCTGGAGCTGTGAGAGAGAAAACTAAATCATTAGCCGCAAAGAAATGTTCTGGTCTTCAAACCTCAGAGAATATAAATCTGCTTTTTTGCAAATCTATGGTATGTGTTATGTGGTATGAAATGTGTTCTACAACGGTTTAATTTCTCGTTAACACAAACATCAAATAAGCAAATCACATGGCAGCAACTCAATGCATTTAGGTATGTAGACATCTTCATGACGATCTGCTGAATCATCAGAATGGGGAAAGGTGATTTAAGTGACTTTGAATGTGGTATGGTTGTTGGTGCCAGATGGGCTGGTCTGAGTACTGTATTTCAGAAACTGATGATCTACTGGGATTTTAAGTTTACAGAGAATGGTCTGTAAAAGAGTGAGCGGCTAGCCTGGGTTTCCCCAGCGTTTTTTTTTCACGCTGCTAGGCAGCCTGGACACTATGAACCAAATTTTCACCTGAGATAGGGATCTAATCACAGAACGGGGAGGGAGCAGATGACGTACATGCGACATACCGAAGCAGTTTGATATTTCTCATACATGGTATAAATTATTGATTATATATAAAATCATTTAACAGTTTTCTCATTTTCAGAAGCGGAATCCTGCCAAAGGGATCATCATATTTGAGAGAAGTTTGCATGAAAAAGTAAATAAAAAGTCTCTGGACAAATATATATATATATATATATATAAAAAATGTCTGTAATGACTGAGATGCAATTTCGCCGACAGCTAATTTGCGTCTTATTTATTCAGCAACACCATCAACAGTCATCATAAAATCTGATTATGTGAGACATGAGGGCCAACTCGTTCATTACATGATCTTCCACAACGTAGCCAAGATGACATCACCCCCTTTTAGACAAAACGTTGTTCAGCTGCTACTGAAAATCCACATTTAAAATTATTGCCAGGGAAAGAATGTTAATAGTCTCCAGTTGTTATCAGGCCAATTCCAAAACATTGTTATCTCAACGCCAATACAATAAATCCTTCCTCCACTCCAGCCTGAAGAATGAGGGGAGACTATATAGGGAAAAAGTACAAGGGTGTGGAAGTGAAAGGTGGCAGATATTTGGCTTCAGACGCACTTTTGAGTCACGGTTCTAAACTCTTTGACTTTGAAATCAGGTTACTAGCAGGTTTATTGTAGTTAACTAAAACCCTAAAAAAAAACTCAGCCAGAGCGGCTCCCATTAGTGACTAAAATGCTCCGCTCTCCACCCAGATATAAAAGCTGCTGTCGTTTGATGAAGATATATGACGGATGAACTCGGGACCCAAGTGGACTCTTGTCGTGTCCAAAGAAATAAGACTTTTCAGTTGTATGGTGGACGCCATCTTTGATATAACTTTGGTTACTGTCGTTATGGTTACTGGTAAGAGAATACAGGCTTGACTCCTGTTGCACATTCACACAGACAATATTCGAGACGCTACTGTAAGTTGCTGTTTGAACGGGACATTTCGAGACTCAAACCTGTAAGTAAATGCGGTTGTCATTCCCAAAGACTGTGTGAATTGAAAAAATTTCAGTTTGAACGTAGTCTTAGTTTAAATTGATGTACTAATATAAAATACAAAAATAAATTAAATAAAAAAAAATATAAAGAAATATTTTAAATAAAAACATTGAAGTGAAAAAATACACTAAAACATAATTAAATTAAAATAAACCTAAACAAAAATAAAAACTAATTTGAAATAATAATAAACAAATAAAAACTAAAATAGAATCTCAATACTACTATAAAATAACACTGGGTACTGAAAACCACATCTGGGCCTTTTTTTCAGTACCAAGATCAAAAACAAATGGAGAAACATGAGTGTTTTCATCTAAGGAGATGAATTTGGAAGACTGTAGATAAATAAGGTCATGGATTTAACATTTAAAGACCAACACAAATGCACAAACCGAGAAGCCAGACTTATTGGCACAGAACCCAGGGTGTCACGTCTGGATTTACAAAGCTCATCTTGTTAGAACAGGCTAGATAGACACAGTGTCTTAGCTTCACTGTACTGGTCCATTTGTTCAGCATATGTTAACCTGCTTTGAGCTTGTAAATATGATCAATCACTGGGGCAGAGTTGAGTCAGTCTGCTGACTCACACTCACAAAGACTGCACACAGCGGGTTCAGGCCAATTCTGATAAGGGCCCACCAATATTTCATTGAATCAAAAGGGACAATGAAGCAACAGAACCGCTCCCAAAGCAGTGCTATAAATTTGCAGGCCTGTTTTTGATTGCATGTAATGCTAAACAGAGATGGTGAATACAATTAAAAGGACTGTTTAACAGTTCAACATGATATTTGTAAGACTGCAAGATTTCTCTGTATTATGGCTATATATATGGGTGTCTTCAAAGTTAGGCACTTTTATGCCCCAGGGGTTGATTTTTATTAAAATGAAAAGATTTCAAAGTTTTATTTTAAGTTTACGATGCATTTATTATTTATATTAACTATAAAAAAAAAAATACAGAAATGTATTTGAAATTTGTCTATTTTAGGCTAAGTGTACAATAAAAACACAAATAAAATTACATATTTATATACTTAATATAAATACCCTGCAATTAATTTAAGTATACATTTTTTTGTAAATTTACTAAATTGGTATACTTAAAGTCTGCTAAATTGGAATGACTAAATGTGTACTTCATGCACTTAAAGTTAACTGAAAATAATGCTGAGGTCAAACTAAAGACACACTTTACTAAACTATTGCAAGTAAACAAATGTGTGCAAACATCTCTATAAATGTAATTATATATATTGTATAAATCTAAAACCATTCTATACATCTTTAAATATATAATTAAAATATAATTTCTCTTTCTATCTATCGTTATACAGTATATATAGAACGATAAATGTAGACTTTACAATGTTAATGTTTTTTAAGTGCTCTGTTGTTTCCCATGTGAAGTTCTACAGATGTTTCTGATTCGACCACGAGGCTCTGAAGTTGCCTTTGGAATCAATGACTGACCTGTTCATCTACGTCTCTGTGTGGGACAGATGGGGTGTTGACGTAGGAGCTAAGGGACGAGCTGGTGTTGAGGTCATCTGTGTCCAAGGTGTCACTGATCCCGCTGCTGACTGAGCTGCTGTCGTCCCAACTGAGAACAAAGAGGAAAGAGAGAGGAGCAGTTTATTCTCTCTGAGGAACATGATATCAATACGCTGAAAGGAAGACTGCGAGAAATAAAACAGAATACATGGATTCAGAAAGTTCAGCATAATATGGAAAATGTAGGAATGGAAGGAAAGGTAAGCAAAAACAACATCTGTGGAGAGTCATGAAGTCTGCATCGGGACAGTGAGGGCATAAAAACCTGCATTCCCATCATGCTTCAGACATTAGGCACGTCTCTCTGCTCCTCAAAACTTGTTTTAATTAGCTCTGCGCCTCAAATTCTCAGTGCGCTCTGCTTGGCTATCCCCCCACGAAATCCTTTAGGATGCTCAGCAGGACTCAACCAAAATCATATGGACCAAAGGCACAACTGGATAAAGGGAAAACCTAGCTGTGAGAGGATTTGTGTTGTACATTTTATTGTCAAATCATAAAAACTGACAGCAATAGAATTAACAATTGTGTTATTATAGCTTAAATGAGGCTAAAAAGGTGTGCTAATTTTTAAAAACCTGACAAAAAGAGCAGTTTTAGCTTAAATATTATTTTTTTATTTTTTTTTTTTAAAGAAAATTTGACAACAGAATTATCAATTTTAAAAATTTATTTTGAATCGGGCTAAAAAAAAGAGATATGATTCTGGTATTTGACAATACCAGAATCAGCATTTTGCTGCTTTAACTCAAATCACGAAAAATGATTTCTTGTTCTTATTCATATATGAGCAATCTCTCATGATTATATGCAATATAGCTCCATATCAGCATAGCTATGATTCAGCAATAGGCAATCACAGCTGTGCTGATATAGAGCCATATGGCACGCTCATATACAAGTACAAATGAAGAGTTCAGATGCAAAAGCCTCTAAATGCCATTTGAAATTTTTTTCTGATTTTTTTTTTGATTTTTATCAAACTTGTATATTTAAGTTCAGTAATTTCACTTAAATAACAATTAATAGGTAATTATCATTGCCATTTAAGTGAAATCACTGAACTTAAATATACAAGCTTGATAAAAATGATCATTCTAGAAGAAAATTTCAAATGGCACTTAGAGGCTTTTGCATCTGAACTCTTCAAATATAAAACATACTTTTGACAAAGTCTGACAATAAAAGAGTGATACATTTGGATAATTTGTTTTGAATGAGGCTAAAAAACACAATTTATCCATGTTGGTAAAGCAAATATCATAAGACCTGGGAGAGAGAGAAAATGACATTTGCTGATATGAATGTATTGAGGGTGTGTAAACAGGAAGTCCCTCCATGCTATTTGCTAAATCCAAACACAGACTGCCCAAACTCCCACAAGTCACCAGCTATGGCTACTCCAGCCTCGAGTGATGCTAAAAGAACTAGCTTTATCAACAGTGTGTGGCAACAAAACATCTTATCAGCACCTAAGACACCACGTAATCCTCCTCATTTCTCATGATCATTCAGGCAAACAAACCAGCCCATAAGCTCATTCACAGACAGTCATGAATCAAGAGAGGCGCGTGTTCAAACATCCACCACAGTTCTGACGTCCTGCGAAAGACCTGAATAGATACTTGTTTTGATTTGAGCAAAGTCCCCATAGCTCAAGTCTATCATAACTGACTCGACATAACTGGCGTGGAGGGACGTCTGTGGTTCCTGTTTTAATGAGCTGTGAGAAAGTTGGTCCCATTGGAGCTATGTGTCTAATAGCTCTCACACACACACACTGTGCTTATGTGTTTGTCTGGTTCCACGTGTCTGCTTAAATGATCTGCTTCATTCATCATTTGCCATATGCTGTCAGATGCTATAGATGGCGAATGCAAACAAACACCAAAAGCCCCCAAAATGGAAAGAAAACAGACACGAATGAGTCACTTCTTCCTTTTTTAAGACGCCATGAAATCCAAATCATTGTTTTGTGGATTTTAGCGCATTTAGTTTATCTGAAATAACAGATTAAGTAAAAGTCTTTGCCTTCTAAGAAAATACAGCAAAAGTATTAAAATTGAATTATTGTATCAATTTTGAATATACATTAATTATACATTTGATACTATTCAAATTATTAATTAGAGAATATTTTTAAAGAGATTTGAGAATATTTCGCATAACATTAATAGATTATTCAATGGAATGAGAACGCCTCTATTAATATTAAATGTAATTTTTATATCAATTAAATATGAATTTACTACTACTAGTAATAATATTAAATTATTCATAAGATATTTTTTTAGATTATTTTAGCATGAGAATTAAACGTTTTATTAAATTAGAATGAGAACCTGCCACCTAAAATTGGCTTGTAAAAGTAAAAACGGGGGGAAACTATATTAAAAAAGTAAACACAAAAGTAAGTAGGTCCGTATTTATTGTAAATATTGTAAATAGTAAGTAGTATTTTATTGCAGTGTACATTTACATTTATACTACAACTAAAACTAATTAAAGGCACAATATGTAGGTTTTTTGCCACAAGAGGGCACAGTTTCCAACAATAACAAAGGTGTAGGTTTATGACGCAGTGATGAGCTGAATGATGGGACTTGCTGTCAAGCTGATGGATCTAATAATGTTTATGGATGAGTACAAACATTCATAGTGGTATGAAGCAGGTCGTGATTGCTAAAGAGACAGATATCACACACGAGTCCCGCGGATATAAAGGAATAAAGACATTTAATTCTACCGAACTACCCGCAAGTGCTGGATTACTCGCACAGGTCAGTTTATAAGACAAATTAAACTTGAGACTGAGTTAACTCAGCACTGCTTTACTTGGTCTAACATTACACTATCACACTAAACGGCATTTAAACATACGGTATGTCATTTTTGGCCACCAGGGGTCACTAATCTCTTCCAATAACAAAGGCGTATATCGATGACGCAAAGCACCAAGTGTAATTATGGATCTCGTCGTCAAGATGATGGATCTCTCGGAATTGCTAATCAGAGACGTATACGTGTCGCACGCAATGCAAGTCCCGCGTATATAATGGAATAAGAACATTTCATTCTACCGAAGTACACGAAAGTGCTGAATTAATACTCACACAGGTCAGTTTATTAGACAAATTAAACTTACTATCACACTAAAGAGCATTCGAGTGTTTTGAATGTTGTTAGTTAGGCTAGGTTGTTTGTTGGCTGTATGAGACTAGCTTTAGCCTAAACTAGATCAACATTAGAATAACTTACAGATATTCTGCCATTTTATCATGTTGAAATAAACAACATTGATTAGTATTTATGTACATTTGCTCACCTGTCTAATACAATACATGAAGCACTCGCGTCTCTCTCAAGTCAAAGTTAGTCGCGAACGTGGAGTAAAAATTCTACATATTGTACCTTTAATGCTTTAAATACGTTGTATTGAATAAATGAGGTCAACGCGAGCATCTCCGATGCAATATTGTCCAGAATAACAGAATAGGTCAACATACAATTTCCTTGTTGACCAGCATCTGATCTTTAAAACAACAAAACAAAGGTCTGCAAATGTTCCACACAATACTTCTCACATGAAAGCGAGAGAAAGAGAGGGTGTGGGTGGTATAGAGGGCAGAGGTGGGTCAGAAAGTGGTACTTTAAGAATTTATTCCTCTCTTTCTTTCTTTCCAATATAATCCAAATACATTCCTCCCCTTGCTTTGCCCAAGTGCAAACCAACCCAAAATAGAAGGGGAGTGAGCAAAATATCGCCTCTGAACTCTTTAGAATGAGGCATGGAATTTAAACAAAGAGATTTTCTGAAATGCCAGAGAGAAAATAAACATTTTGAATAAATTAAAAGCACAAAACAACAAACTAACTTAAGAACTATTGGTAAAGAGTGACTACAAAATATTATGGCTCATCTGTCATATTCCCAATTAAAATAAGACAATTATTAACATACAATAATAGTACAGCGACAATTTGTTCATGTTGAAATATGACTTTATTGTGATTCTAGTTATGTGCATTTTTATATATGTGTGCAGGTTTGTAAATCCCTAAAAAACCATGCCTGAACAAACTACTTTTCTATAGCCAAATGAACAAACCATTCTGAATGATTTGTTCACAAATGACTCAGTTCTTGAGTTCAAATCACTGACTCGTGTGATCACAGCTTACTGGAATAACGAAAAATGACTTAAATTTGGTCAGTTCCTTACCTCAAGTTATTGAATAGCTTCAGAGTACTTCAAATATAGCAAATGGGTTGTGTGGACTACTTTTATGAATCTTTAGGATTCTCTTAAGGCGATTTTGTGTCCCTTTTTAGGCTTGATGTCTTTAGCATTCCTTGCAATTGTATTGAAACGTGCTAATTTCTCATCTTCTGTTCCACAGACATAAAAGCAATTTGGGTTTGGAATGACACAAGGCTGATTAAACAATGACAAAATGTTCTTTATTAAATCCCAACTGCAGTCTAAGAGGAAAATAATAGAGTCTATATCATAAACAGACACCCATCTGAGATTGGCTGCTTTGTTTTTCACACACAATCCCTCACCCTCAACACCGACAACATTCGCCAATAATCTTAAACTAATATTATGAATTGGCAAATTTAATTAATTAGCAGTGACAGCGGACACAGGTGTGACACGACGGAGCGCAAACCGCCCCAAAACAACCTGTCATCCATCCCACCATAGTCAAACACGCGCCTGCATGCAGAAACACCGGCACCCGTCCCTTCCCCCGTCTGGGACATTAGATTAGTGTCAAGCCCCAAAGAAGTAAAAGCATATAGTGGGGGTTGATCCACAGGGCAGGAAATTAGTTTTTTTTCTAAAGACCTGTTATTAGAAGAGCAGAGTGGAGTTGTGAGCTACAGCTTGACTGCACACACCACCCTTGTCCTGTTTGCTTTGGGTGGCCTATCAATTAGTTCTGCAAGGATACCCATCTCTACAGCAACCCCAGCCCTGTTGCCAGGCATTGTGGGAGATCGGGAAAGGTACTTTAACCAGGAACAGCAAGAAAAGTGTA